AGTTCCTGTTACTGTGTGTTTTTCTCTGAAGTGAACAGAATAAATTATTTTCAGTCGCATGAAAAACTTGCATGATTCATAGCTTGAACAGGAAGTAATAAAACTGATGTATATTGTTGATAAGTGACACAAAAGTAAAAAAAAAAAAGTTTATACTACTGACAGGAAGGTATTTTTTAATTCAGAATGAGTGCATCGGTAAAACATTAACTATGTTCCTTCCTATGATTTTAGGGTCGAAACCAAGAAAAGACCCTGAAGACGAAGGTGGGTAATTATGTTTTTGACTGTCTGTATCTGTCTGAACCACTATATAAAACTCATCCATCCATCCATCCATCCATCAATCCATCCATCCATCCATCCATCCATCCATCCATCTTCCTCTTGTTCTGGACTCAGGTCTCGGGGGCAGCATCTTGAGCAGGGAGGTCCAGACATCTCTTTCCACAGCCTCTTCCAGCTCTTCTGGGAGGACTCCAAGGTGTTCCCAGGCCAAATGAGAGACGTCGTCTCTCCAGCATGTCCTGGGTCTTCCCCGGGGTCTCCTCTCAGTTAGATATGCCTGAAGCACCTCCAGGGAGGTGCTATCCTTACCAGATGCCCGAACCACCTCAGCTGACTCCTCTCAATGTGGAGGAGCAGCGGTTTTAATCTGAGTCCCTCCTGATAATTGAACTTCTCACCCGATCTCTAAGGGAGAGTCCAGCTACCCTGCAGAGGAAACTCATTTCAACCTCTTGTATACACGCTCTCATTCTCTTGGTCACTATCCAGAGCTCGTGACCATAGGTGACGGTAGAACGTAAACAGAGAGATTTGTCTTACAGCTCAGCTCCCTCTTCACCACAATGGACCGGTACAGAGTCTGCAATACTGCAGATGCAGCACTAATCTGTCTGTCAATCTCCCGCTCCATTCTTCCCTCACTGGTGAACAAGACCCTGAGATACTTGAACTCCTCCACTTGAGGAAGAACCTCACTCTCGACCTGAAGAGAACAATCCAACCTTTTCCAACTGAGGAAAAGGGTCAATGAAACTCAAACATTTTAAACTTTTGACGTCTACTGATTTACCGTTGGAGCCAACCCAATGCAAGATGGCCGCCACAGCCAAGTGACCTTAAGGAACACAAAAATGTCTCCAAGTCAGTCAATTTAACAAATACTGAGCTGAAATTTGGCATGTTAGTAGCTGAGAGTCGTTCGTAGCACACAGCCCAAAGGCTACTCGTTGCACCGGAGCTTTGCTTAAAACTTTAAAATGTTGAAGTCAAGCCTGTTTGTCTGTTAGTAAAATATCAGATAATAATGAACATTTTACAAAGTAAATTTTCACTGTACTCTTCCTGTTTGTCATCAGAGATCACTGTCTGAAAGAGATCTAAGAAACCAGTTTTTGGAAGATGTATATGAATTAGATCTTTGATCAGGGCAGCACAGAGAGGGGGACATCAGTCTGTCTTGGCTGCACAACAAACAAAGTTGGTTTATTGTTTTCCAGGCATCACAAGAACACCAGCTACAAAAACAGCAACTCTTCCAAGATCTAAACATTGACAGTTATTTATTGGTAATGAAATATTGAGCAAACATGTTATGTATACAGATGCACAGTTTATTATTTTAATTACTTTGACTTTTTTCCAATTCTGAACCAATCAAACTCCTGCTCTCAACAGCTCCCTTCCTTTAAAAGAGCTGGATTTGAGGCGAGCCGCCTCCTAAGATGGCTGCCACAGAGGACACACCCACATGGTAACAAACAAACATTTTGTTCATTATCCCACACTCTGGAACTAAAATAGACAAGTTAAAGAAGAACTTAGTGCTTCTTAACAATCAGATGTTAGAGCAAAGCATCAAAGTCTGTAAATATTTTTCAGTCTCCTTATCTTGATTTAGTTCCCCTGGTCTGGCCTAATTTGAAAACTGGTATAATTATTCATCAATCTTGGCCTTTCTGTTGCCTTTTTTGTCCCGTTGTAGAGTGTAATGGGGAACTGGAAATGCCCTTCGTCTATTCGTCTGTCCGTGCATGTTGTGAGCAAGACAAGTTGAACAAGTCAGTGAGGTACTGACTTCCATTTTGTTGTGTGGCTACATCTAGGCGTAAGAAAGTGTTTGGGTTGCCACGTCAAAATCCAAGATGGCTCCCGCCATAAATGTATGTTAAACTTTTGAGTTTGATAACTTAAACAATAAGCAACGTGCTGACTTCACATCATGACGTTGGTGTGTGGCTCTAATTAGGCATAAGAAAGGTCAGTATCAAACATTTTGTTGCCCTGTCCAAATCCAAAATGGCCACCACAAACTATATAAGCAAACGAGTTACCCCTGTCATATGAGGAAACTATGCTTTCTAGCTTTTATATTGCTTAACAGTAAAGTTTCCTCAAATGATTTGGGTGTTCAAAGAATAATCTGGCGTCAATGCCACCAAAGGCCACCCCCTAGCTCCACCATGGCGCCTGGTTGTGGATAAATTTGCTCCTGCCACTTGCTCTGTCACTGCGCTGCCTCAGACATCAACGAATAAAAACCTACCTTAATTTAAAAAACTGCAAACATTAACTGTTCAAATCCATCAGCGACAGGGGGCATCAGCGTACCACCTGTTGTATTTTTAACATCATTATAGTTTTGTGAGGAACTGGTAGAGGGAGCTGACATTTATTTTAAGACCTTTTTCTCCTGTTTTCAGTCGAGGAAGGTCAGAGAACTGTGTTGTGTTTAATTTTTTTTTTTTTCCACATAGATATGAGAATACTTAATAAGATAAGTTATGATTTGTTATTTTGGCCTGGGCTCACCCTCCAAA